GTTGGGAAGATGGTGAAAACCTGTCATACTGACAAGGCATATGACTTAAAGGTTTGGGGAAAGGTGGAAATGCACACAGTACAAGCAGAAAGGGTGACAAAAGCTTCAAATGGTAGATGTGACACCCCAGGCCGTACAGAGCTCTTCCTCACACTCAGAGTGTACATCTAATGAAGAAATCATCTCCTCGTGCAATGTGTCTTAGTCTGGGACAAAAGGCCCCATATCTGGGTGATAGAGGGGCCCTCAGTATCCTTATTCCGCTAAAAGTACTGATTTCTGGGGTAGAGGCTTAGCAGCTAATGCCAAATACAGCATGTTGCACAAAGCAGAAAAAGAGATAAGGCTCTGCTCTTTAAGTTAAGTGCTACTGTGGGCTTCTTAAAAATGTCTGTGGATCTCTCCCCTTGTAAATTAATCCATCGGTACATTAAATCCCAGTCTAAGATCCAAATCCTGGAGCAAGTTCTAGCTTGGTTGAGGGGTGAAGGTAAATTGCCGCAGTTTTTCTTCCCTTTCTTGATTATTGTTTCTGCTTGGTGATGGTCTAGCATGGAATAGGGCAGACCTAGTGTTGCTTGTAGAAGTGTTAAAAAAGAAGGTAAATGAAAGCAATTGGCTTGTCCTTTATCTTGCCACCAATATCTAACAATTCCTCTGTGCTCTCAGCTTTCCGGAGTCAGTAGATACTTCCATGAATTCCCCAAAATTACTTCAGTGGCAAGACTCTTAATACAAGTTTTGCTAATTTACTTGGATTGGGAAATAAATTAATAAACTGAGGAGAGGGAAACTGTGGCCTGCATCCCTGAGAATAACGCAAAGCAATTTAATTTGGAGATTTCATAAGAGTGATGCTTCAGGGCAGTTTTAACCCAGAAGAAATGAACATATAAATTGTTTACAAATCGCTGAATTTAAATATAGTGATTTAGAAGTCCTCTTTGTTTTTCATTTAACAGATGGGTCAAATTAAAACAAATACTTGCGCATTCCCAACATATTTCACTTTTAATGTGAAATGTAAATGACAGTATATAGCATGATGTCTTTGAACATCTAACAGCAATAAAAACAATTTAGCATTTTCTTCTTCTAGTTGTTAAAAGTGATAAGTTCTATAAAATGGAGATTAAATTCATAAATCTCCTGACGATAAGAAAAAGCTAAGTAGAAGAAGACACAAGAAGGAACTGATGCTTTTTTAGTGTCATGTTATTGAGTGGCACTCAAGAAAATTCATGAAAGTGAAAGACTACTTGCCATAGGTAGTATTGATGCTTGCAGGATGGGGTCCAGATGGGGTGACATGACTGCTGTGATGGAGGAGATGACAAGGGGCCAAGCAAGGAGAGCACCACCGTGCTGGGCAGGCTAAGCTCATGCGAGGAAAAGCTTTTGTCGAGTGAAAGGTGGCTGCAAGGTTCAAATCTTGAGTCTTAAAGCCCAGATGGTCAGGTTGGGGATTTGAAGTCCTTCATGTAGAGATGTCAGTTCTTTCTGTTTCTGGCTACCTTGCTACACTCATGGTGGAGAGGAGGGACTGGCCCAACGGCTGCAATAACAACTCTATGTCTGGTGTTGGGGAGGGGGTACATCCAGGGGCTGTTCAGCTCGAATTTTGGTAGATTTGCTCCAGTGGAGGAATGCAAATTTTTTCCAGTGTTTTGGAGCAAATCAATTCTGTTTTTATAAAGTAGACTCTGCAGTGCTATTTCTTCCTACTTCCGTCTCATTATTTTGTTGGCTTCAAGAAAAACATGATAGCACAAGTCTGTTTAATGCTCCTCCTCCTGTAAGTAGGCATTTTGTACTTTTGGATAGACTGGGGCATACTTCCTGCAATCTCTGTGTGTGTGATTTATTTAATCATCTTCTGAGTCATGTGGTAAAACTCCACTGCCTCCAGTGGGTCAGCCCATCCATATGAGCAGTATAGATCAGACTGGTTGACACTGTGTGGGTTATCTATGTTTGTGGTCATAAAGTAGCTTTGGTCACGCTGGGACTGCAGATCTTTCTCCTAGTGAAGGTCTACGTGGGTCTGTTTGAGTGTTGACTGTCATGAATAGCAGTGAAAATATAGCTGAACTTTAATTTTTTGAGTGGTTCATAGCATTTGTTAAGAAAAGTTTCTCCACCCCCAGCATCAGAAACTGGATAGCTGTAGTGCTTATGAAAATACTCGACTGATGGCACTTTGATGAAACACAAACTTTTAACAGCATTTGAAACCTAATGCTCAACCCATTCTGACAGGGATTTATTCAGTCTTTGTGGCTACTCAATCTCATCTTTCTCCTGTGGCTGTAAAGGGCAGGGCAGTGATCAGAGGGCTACCTAAATGGTCACGAGGTGCCACTGGGGACCTCTTGCTGCTTTAACACCTGAGCTGAGGTGCCCTGCCACCACAGAAGTGAGCTCTCAGGAAAGGGTGAGTTTGGAGATTTAATATGTATTATTATATATAACGGGGTTATAGCAAAGAAGGAGAATGTAATGGAAGAGCCTTGTAAACAAAAGATAGAGCTAGTGCAATAATTATAAATGTTACAAAAGAAAGCACTTTCATAGCTGAAACTATGTAAGTCAAAAATCTTTAGGAAATGTTAACAGGTGGCCTGTTCACTGGGAAAGGGGAGCAGTACGGGAGAAGACTCCACACAAGCTGCTGGTGAGGTGGGCCTCAGCACCAGCGGCTCCATGCTAGCAGTGCCTGCTCTCTGGCCATGGATACATACTGCTTAATCTGGTCAATAATATAAAGCCACATTTATATAAAAGCAGGTGTATGGTTTGTTTGTCATCAGACTGGATCTGACTGATCTGAACTTGTACTCTTTAATGAAGTGAGTTTGGACTATCCCAGATGAAAAATCCATCGTTCTAAAGCTTCTGTGATATTTCCCTTGGCAGCTTCAGTTTTGTGCTTCTTCTTAAAAGCCTTAATTATTTTGTATAAAACAGCCTCAAGCCTAACACAGTAAATAACGTCGAAATAAAAAAAAAGTCCTTTAGTGTTGCTACGTCCTCTGCTTTTCTCTGCATACACTTCCAGTTTGCCCTTTGGAGCGATACTCCTCTGTTTGCACAGCAGAGGGGTCCCACTGCATGGGGCTGCTAGGCACTGGGGGTGCTCTGCTGTTTGGCAACCAGCATCTGGGCAGCTCTTTTCTGTTTCCTGTCCTTGAAGAAACATGCATCCATCCCGAGCTCTTCCTTCCAGAAAGAGAAGTATCAAATTAATCTGAAAGTGTTGAGGTGGATGCATTAAAATGCTGCTGTAGGTGCAGCAGTTGGCAAGAGCCAGAGCTGCAGCTGGACGGACCTAACTGGAGACCCTGCTGGTACCAGCCTGGCACCATCAGCTCCCCCATGCCAAGCAGGGCAGGTAATTCTGCTCTTTCTCATCAATACAGAACTGCAGTTTTTCTGCCTTGGGACCCTATGATGTAAGATAAACTTTGCCTACATGCCTGGACAGCAAATATCCATGTATGGGTTACATAATGCAAACATACATAGGCATGAGTAGGGCTGGGTTAGTTAGAAAGCGTGGTGTCAGCAGTTTGTTATCTTTGCACCTGCGCATCGCCTCCTGGTGGTCATCTTCGAGGGTCTTTGGGAGGAAGGCTTGTAGTCTTTCTCACCCTGTTTTTCCCACGGACTATGCGCAGATTCTCTTGGCCAATTTATTGAATAACAGAAGTGTTTTTCAGCCGGTTTATTTTTCTATCTTATCTAAGAGAACCAATAGAACTTCAACCATTCATCTATGACTATCTCTACTCATTAGCAAAATTCCAACTAGTTAGAGCCAGCCACCTGTTCCTCAAGGACAGAGCATAATATTTTGCTGAACACTGTAGCCCCTGGTAGATTTTCACAGTAAACTGTTTTGATGAACACTGTAGTCCTTGGTAAAATTTCACAGAACAGTCTAAGCAAGCAGCATTCTTAACAATATTAAAAAACCCACTATAAGTAAATAAGTTGCTAAACAGTTTTCTATAAGT